TATTTATATTATAATAAATTAAAATAAAAACATTTTACGCCGCTACACAAAAACTACTCATGTGAATGTTTCATGCTAGACACAATCATCAGCCCATAATGATAAACCATTGTATCTACGCACATCTTCCAATCACCCGCCATCTATAATCAAACAGATACCAAAATCCATTAACCGCAGACTTTCCGAGAATTCTTCCAGTGAAAGCATATTTAACGAAGCTAAGACAGATTACGAAACAGCCCTAAAAGATAGTGGATTCCCGGCAACACTCACATACTCACCATAGAGCACACACAGGAGAAAAAAAGCCAACAGGAAGAGAATGGGTAACAAAAAATAAATTAAAAAGTATCTGATGATACGTTGCACTTAGTAGGACGAGAAATAAGCAGACTTTGAAATTACAGATTGAATCTACAGACTGTCAAGGATTACTCAAACCTTCCAAAGTTTACATAAAAAAATATTGTGCTTTGGGAACTTTTGCAGTAAAAATAATTTTGGTTGTAAATATGTAACATTTATGAAGATGATATACGAATATCTTTCCTTGGGCGTTTATAAAATTGTATATTTTCAGTTATTAATGTTACAACGAACTATTTTAAATTACAAAATTGTACTTGGATTAAACGAAAATTACAATATAATATATATTACTTCTTGCCGTCAATTTTGACGGCACAGGTACACTAGTAATGATATAATACACCATTTATGGCTCTCATGGCTTCTCTTGATGAGAGGTGTTATCATATACATATTTTGCCTTGGTGAATTAAAATGGGCTACAGTAAATATGCTATTTCGTACCACAAATGTGCTTCTCATTTTTCTGATTTTAACCAGTTGGGCATAATATCTAAGGCCTGCTGATGCACAGTGCATCTCTGTTCATGAGCGGGAGTAGTGAGGGAGCATAATGGCCGGGTGTCGAGATGTTTGTTTTAGTGTAAAGTATTAGGAAGCCAATGCGATTTGGATGTTGGGAACGTCCTCAATTGTTCAGTTATTAACGTTAACAATAAACTATTTTAAATTACAAAATTGTAATTGAATTAAACAAAAATTACTTACAATACAATACATATTACTTATAATACATTCCTTCTTGTTGTCAGTTTTGATGGCACCTGTACACTAGTAGTATATAAACAAGGTAAGCCTAGTAAATGTTTTTATCTATTCTACATATCCTTATAATATGGCGTCCTGGGTAAGACGATAAACTAGGTCCAACAGCAAGGCCTCTGATCGTGAGGTTTTGAGGAGCGTGGAACCACCTCTTAATTGCTGGTGTTTCTAGGTCCACCCTGACCTGGGGTGGTAGCACCTGTTAGGATCCCAGCTATGGGCAAATAATTTTTAAAAAAATACAATTTTGAAGGAAAAATATTACCAGAAACAGATTTTTGTCAAAACCAAATATTGCCAGCAATAAAAAATGTTGTCGGCATTAAATAACCCATTGAGGTTGATATGCCGTAAAACAAAATAAACCAAACCAAACCAAACCTTATAAAATAGAGCTCTTATTTTCACCTTGTACACCTTTAAAATAAACTCTAATGAAACCTTTATATGAAAGTTCTAAATTGAGTGGCACTTGGGCCTTGTATTGGGCGAACAATAGTCTCTAAAAAGGTAAGCTTAGTAAATGATTTCAATAAAAAGACGGGCATGAATAAATTATTTATTGAACGGCTGTCCTCGTATATATTCGTGTAAGCGCGATCTCGCGTATTGTGCGACCCTCAAATTTTCACTTATAAAAATATTTTATCATGTATCTCGTGTATCATGCGAGTTCCTTTTTAGAGAGACCAAATTACAATAGACTAACCACTTTCCCTCTATCTCTTTACCCCATCTTCTAGTCGAATGAGTTAAAAAAGTAAAAGCGAATGATAAAAGTATCGTTAGTAACGCTATACTTGTTGCGTAAACAAAGCCATAAACAACTGAACGAGAAACCGCTAAACATCTTATAAACATAAACAATGGAAAAGATGCATATTCGCTTTATTGTATTTTATAATACGATACTAATATGTGAATATTACATGCATTATTATTGGATAAAGTTGAGTAAAACATCAGTTTTATCAAAATCATGTTTATTTCTAAATACAGCTGTATATTCTGACCGCAGTAAATGGATATATAGTTTGGTCAACAGCGTAGCCACGTCCAGTAGTAAATACGCTAATTTTATATCTCGTGTGTAATGCGACCTCCTTAAAATTAGTTTCAAATTTAGGTCATGATGCGTAAGTATGTATATACGATGTATATACGATAGTTTCGCAAATTACAGACCATGATTTAATTCAATATTGATGGCAGCAATTTGAAATGACTTTGTACAAAAGAGAGCCAAGTGCAAAATATTTCTATAAAATAAGCGAGCGTGTGCTTGGATGATCAAATAAGAGCTACTGTGCAAGTCGTTGAGTTTTTCTCTCGCAAGCTTTTTTCTCAATCGGTCTCTCTATTCACCAACACAATTTACAATTTATATTTGACGTACCGTAAAGAATACTCCAGAAAAAAAAAACCCCAGAAATATTACATTCTTTTATTTTTGAAAATGTACAAAATGGCAGTAAAATGAATGAAGTTAATATTGTTAGTAAAAGATGTTAAAAAAAAAGAAGAATAAGAAAAAAGTAGACGATAACTTCCTCCGATAAGTAATTTGATTGGGCAACACTTGTAATATGGCCGCCGTTAGGTAAAACGACGCTTCGCAAATCTATCAACTTATACTTTTAGTTAAAAAGCTAGAATTAAAAAAGTAGCAAAAAAAAAAAAACAAAACAAAAAAAACAAAACACTTGTTTGGCTTCGGCCATAAAAGTGAGACGTGAATCTATGATGTTTAAGAACAAACGCAAGAGCAATTCAATTAGCTTATTTTTTATGCATATAACATTAGATCTTTTTTTACAAAAGGATATGATGGAGAAGTGTTTTTTTTCTTCTGTGGAGTAGCTAGTTTTGAAAACTTTGACTATGTTACTGATCTAGGTACTCAATGGGTATCCAAAAGTTGCAGTTTTATACAAGACTAAGTTATGCCGAGAAAATTGATAAAGTGCAACATTGAGTTCCTCATATTCGATGCATAATAAAAAGTTAGTAAAACTATTATTTACCAAGCGCTTTTTAATTGTTTCCTGGTCGAATTCAAATCTGACCATTAACTTTTGTGTGTGTATATATATATATATATATATATATAGTGTAAGCCGGATATAAGAGACCCGGATATAAGAGAAACCCGGATATAAGATAGATTTTCTCTGGTCCCAAATTAGAGCCTGTGTTAATGTATATAAAATAGACGAAACCCGGATATAAGAGAAACCCGGATATAAGAGAAACCCGGATATAAGAGACTTCTTCTCCGGTCCCGACAACTCTCTTATATCCGGGTTACACACACACACTATATATATATATATATATATATATATATATATAAACATATTTCTTTCTCTGCCCTGCGCTGACAGCTTAGGGTTAAGAGTCTCTAACTGATGCCAAATCAGTTGAGTTTTGATCTCGGCTTGAAGCAATCGGGTATCTAGCCAGACTGATGAGCTGTGATACAGCGAAACAGACTGTCTGGATGGCTATATATATATGTATGTGTGGTAGATGCGTGGTGGTGTATAGCAGGACAGACTGGCTCCCATAGTCTTGGTTGGCAACCAGTCTAGAAGGATATCTCTCAGTCCAAAATCCGTGGAGGGTCCTTTCAAACCCTTGTTTCATATTAGGTTTCTATATATGTGATGCTTCCGAAAAGTGTGTTCTACACAAGACTGCAGCACAATAATTATATGTGCGGATAGTCTGGATGTTTGGTTCTAAGGACAGAGTTACTGGACCCTCATATGTCGACAAACAACGAATGAGTCCTTATATATATATATATATATATATATATATATATATATATATATATATATAGTTGAATTGGAGTGTGTTTGTGATCCTGGCTTTCACGCTATTTGCGATCGTCAGACAAACAGATTAATTTTTACATTTTGGATTTATATATGGTTGCGTATATCAGTTGCTGATAGTAGTGAGTGGAATAATTGTCGTCAGAAGGCCACTCATACGTACGCAAACATAAATACACGCACGTACACACATTGACGTACGCAGATATACATACACGCACACTCACTCGCTGGAGCTCACACAAACATAAACATATATGAACAGTGTAGGACTGGGCATATATGCGCCTCCATGTGTCGTTGCGTACATACGTACGAAATTGGGCGATGTATTCAATATTGGATTGTGTAGCGAAACATCTTTCGTCAGTTGCGGTGTCAACGCGCTGACCGTTCGTCTATTTTGTTCGCCAAATAATGTTTTCTCGCACACGCGTATATACTTATGCACACGCGTATATACGTATGCACACGCGTTCACACCTCTTCTATCCGTCTGTTTTCTTTCTTTCTTTTTTTATGATGGGGTCTGTGTAAGACTATGGTAGGTAAAATTGCTATTATTTAATTTTTTTTAAACTCACACCAATCCAATATGTTAGCTCTATCACTGATATTGAGCGCTTTCCAATAATTACCGCGCATAAATAATATATATATATATAAATTGCATATATATATATATATATATATATATATATATATATATGAACAAATATAGTCTTAAGGTGTGCTATATTTATGGGGTAAAAGTGCTCAGTATCAGAGATCGAGTGTGTAAATGTAAAAGTGAACATGGAAGTCAACACTTAGAATCTTAGAGGCGACAGTCTCTTTCATGCTAGACGCAGTCGTCAGGCCTGATATATATATATATATATATATATATATATATATATATATATGGAGTTAGTTAAATCAAATGACCAGATATAAGCCACCGTATACAAGCGTCTCGGCGTGCATACATAAGCAAGCAAATAAATAAGCATTAAATTTATTCATGAGGTGTAAACATAATAG